TCGCGTCGACAGCCGCCCACACCGCGCACGAACATCCGAAGTTAGTGAAATGGAGCTTCACGGGGTGATGCTGTAGTAAAGGAGGTTTGTGATTCCTAAGTCAGAAGTGAAGGAGGGTCAGAACCTAAAACGCTCTCCCCCAGCAGAACCAGGATTTTAAGTGAGCTTCGGCGAACTATCTTGGCTCCAAATGAAGGACAAGTGCAGCTATCTAGGCGCCAGGTTGGCTGTCTTACGGCTGCGTTGGAGCCATCTTGGGGCCAACTTCGTCTACCTTGGGGCCCATAATGGTGATACAACTTCGGCGTTGCCAAACGCCATCCAAAAAATACACCTCCAAAGCGCTGTCCTCAGTGGCCCTGCAGCCGAGCAAGAATCAACGCAGCGACCACCCTAAAACACAAAAACTCCTCCAAAACGCTCTCCCCAGAGGCCCTGCAAGCATGACCTAACGAAAATCATGTACCTCCAAAGCGCTCTCCCCAGTGGCCCTGCGGGGCAACCACAGCCACGCACGCGCGAAAAATAGAGGCCCCCTAGCATAGCTATATGCATAGGATGTTTTTTTAAAGTGCAGAGCTCAAGAGCCCCAAAGCACGCCCTGCACCGACAAGCGGTGCGGGCGGATCTTCTTGTATTTTTCTTGCAACCAAGATACCTCCAATCACAAGCACGGCCACACTCAGCCAGCAACTGCTAGGCTTGGGGGAACCTAAACACATCACACTTGGGTGTGCCAGTGGTCAAACTGACCTCCGTGCATCTCCATCTGCACAGGGAAACCACAAATCACCTAAGTTTAGGCTAGTGCTGATACCCTTTGCTTCAACGGTTTAGGTGGCAAAAAGTGGGCCGTGTTGGTTGGAGGCCTGCTACACTCCGCCATTTGTTTTTGACATTGACTTTATCTACTTGACCTACTGCCAACATTTTCAACGAAAGACCTCGCTCGAATCCATAGAGCCTGAAATGCTGCAAAGCCTTCAGGAACAATTGAGGGGGGGGCAAAGGAATCATGTTTCCAAGGATGCAGTTAGGTGCATGCTCTCAGGACAGCTTGGCTCAATGAAAAGTGCCCAATCCCAGTCACTGTTGACTTCTCTCAGAAGCCCTAACAATTTCCCAGCCACAAGCGGGGGCAAGTGTGCTTTGATTATGACACACATGAGATTTAGCAACTCCTTGGGACGCACATGACTCTGGATCTTTTTTGATTTGCCAGGAGCAACTGTTGAGGTTGACCTTGCAGAGCAAATCCAATGGCGTGCCCAAGGACCGCGCTGGCCTTTGAGAGAAAGAAACAAACATGTGCTGGCCTTGGCCTTTTTCATGTCGAACCTTTGTGCAAATTGATGCAAGGATGTCGAGCAGGCTATTGTCAGCTTGGACGACCATTATCACAGTCACATGGCACGGGTGCGGGCGAAGTTCGACCTCTTGGCGTCGGCCGAGGTCACTTGGCATTGGCCGCTAGTGTTCGCAAAGGTTGATCAACCGCTAGACAATTGACCACAATGGTAAGAGAGAGGAACAAAAAGAAGGTAAGGGCCCCTCCCAAGCCTTGGCTTCTTTTTCTACTCTTTGTTTGTCATACTTTCGACTTTTTCAACTTGTGTCCAGTATCCACATTCCTTTTTCCTGGCCTCACACTCTCGCCCACACTCTGTTTTTTGAGCTCCTGATGACCATTTCTTCCTGCCAAGCTTTGCAGATTGCCATCACCAGACCGGCCTTCCTCTCCTGGTTGAAGGAGGGATGTTGTGATGGGATTGAACCTGGATGACAGTTGGACTTATGGCGTTTATGGCGTTGGCATCGTGTTGATGGCCTGTGGAGTGTTTGAGTAGTGTGACACTTTGGCCGTCTGGCAAAGATGCAAGTGATTCTCAATGTCAAGCTGAGCAGCAACCAGTCCTTTGCAGGATCGAACCTTTCTTCATGTGCTGAAGGATGCAGATATTGAAACAGCCAACGAATCAGGCACGCCATGGTTTGGCATGATACCCTTTGTCCTACTTGTGCGAAAGGCCCCTGTGTCATTCAGTCCAGTCGCATGAGCCTTTTCTCTTTTGTTTGCCACACCAGGCATTTATGAAGTCCTCGATGCAGACATGCTCCTTGACGGCAAACAGTGGTGCAATTCTTGCAAGGCTCAAGATCAATGCGCAGATCCGATTATGTTCAATTATAGAGGTTGCCAGAGTCTTGGAGGGTATCAACAGGTTCAGGTTGTTCCACGTGAATCTTGATCCTGCTGGTTTACCCACCTCCTTCATGTAGGGAAGTCTGAAGCTAAGGAGCAACAGTCTGAGCATTGAAGAGGTCTATAATGGCTTGATGAGGTGCTTCCGTGCTGCAAAGGATACCAAATCGCTCGGCTCCATCATTCCGCTTGCTTTCCCTGGCTTGATGTTCAGATTCGTAGCGGCAACAGCTTTTAATGGGATACGTATTTGGTTTTGAGTTTGTACTTCAATTCTTGATCAGACGCGGCGCATGCCCAAACTCCTTATGTTTGGAAGCATGCTGAGCCATTCTGGCTGGCAGGTTGAGAGGGCCCATTGCGAAGTCAGAAATTGTGGGCCTCATCTTGAGGCATAGATGTGCGGTTGCTGTTGCATTTCTCTCCAAAGCTGTCATTCATCATGTCACATTCACTGCCCAGCTGCAGCCAAGTGAAGATTGCAGCATTTTGCTCGAGGTCCTTTCCCATCCTTCTTCCAGGTTTGATTCCATTACACAGCCGACATGATTGAGGAAATTTCAGACACCGAGTCGGAGATCGATTGGGATCAGTGGCTCATGGTGCCAGCGCCAGCTACAGCGCTCGAAGATCACAGCGCCAGCCTTGGTTTCTGTGAGACCGTGGCACGCAGGTTTCGGCGAGCCTTTGGATGTGAAGTCGAGTCTGAAGCGGTCGCCTTGACCGAGGCTCAGTTGCAGATCATGCCGAAAGGAGATTTGAATGCAATCGCTGTTGAGTCTGCTGGAGTCAATTGGTTGCTAGTGGGCTTTGGAGCTGCAGCAGCTGCTGTCATTGCAGCCGTTGCAGCAGCGTCTGCTGTTCTCGGTGCTGCTGTGGCGTATTCCTTTTTCACCATGAACGTAGGCGGCTGGGATGGTGACATGAAGGTTATCATGGGAGATGGGTCCAAGAAGAAGATCAAAGATGTGAAGATTGGAGACCAAATTCAGAGCTTCAACAAAGGCAAGCTGCAAGCGAGGCCAGTGGTCATGATCGAAGAGAATGAAAGTAGCACGATGCGGGAATTGCTTCTGCAAACTTCGGATGGCAGCCAGTTCAGTATCAAGGCAACAGGAGAACATCCCTTATATACCCAGAAAGGATGGGCAGTTGTAGCTCCCCAAGAAGGCCGCTTCAAGACATCACCTGAGAAGCTCCGTATCGGTGACACTTTGTTTCTTTGTGGGGAGGATGCCAAGCTCATTGCAATTGGGGATCCTTTGCCCCTCCAAAAGACATACAAGCTTTCGATGGATGGGCAAAGCACTCTCTTTGTAGAAGGCATTTTGGGACATTCGGGCTTGCCCCCCCACAAGACCAGACGCGCAAAGGTTGAGGTCTCCCGATGCTGTAGTACAGCAGTGTTCATGTTCAGAAGCACATGGGTGGGACAGAGCAGTGCTGTGTTTCACTACAATGCGGAGGTGGTTCTTTGACTCCTCCGCCTGGTTTGTACAGATTTATGTCTATCGTGCCTTCGATACGTAGTTGTCGTTGTATGCAAATAGACACATGGACGTGTCAGTAGAGCAGTACTCCTGGCAACCGCGTAACGTTCAACGTGGCTGCGCTGGCGCTTGAAAAAACAAGCTTTAGAAGCTGCAAGCGGGAACCCTGGCAACAGATGCTGACTATGTGTATATGTCAATAACAGTTCAAGTCGTTTCATATAGTCAACGTTGCGAATGCCTTCAGCAGTGATGTTCAGTTCATCTCAACCAAGCCCATTTCATTTGGTCCACATTAAGGAGACACAGAAGTTTGCCCATTCCTTACTGAATGGAGGCTTCAACACGCGACAACCTTGCTGACGGAGATGGAAAGCCGCAAGAGGTCATCCTGAGGAGTTGAGAAATTTCAGCAATATGACATGTAATTTTTAGAGTCCAAACTACTGGTAGCTTCTTGTTGCTATTGTCAAATTAGCTACTAATGGCGATGCGATGCCCTTGTTCCTAGTAGCGATGCACTTGTTAAGAGTCCAAACTTATCCAACCTGAAGTTGTTTGAGTCACCCCCGATTTCTCGTCCACTTTCCGGTTTGTAGAATTACAAGCGTCATTTGCACACCCATTGCTTACGAAGAATCGATTTCGCTGCAAAATCACACGACTGATTGTGCAAGTCTTCTTGGCAGCTATTCATGTCTGTGTGGACTGCAAGACAAACCATGCATCTCGGTGCTGAAATGCAAGAACTGATTCATATTTATATGCTCCAACTGCCAAGAATTCTCCGCACCTGCTGGAACATGCTTTGACCAAGATCTGTGGTAGTTGCAGCTTCCGGCCTTTTTTTTTGCTGTCTGCAAAGCAGACCTTGCAAGAGAATACGGAATCCGGAGCTCTTAAATACTGCTTGCAGTGCTTGAGCCCTTCGGTCAAAAGAGACGCATCATCAGTGTTCTTTGGAAATCGCCGTTTGATAGCAGAATGTGTTGGGCACACCGCTTTGAACGCTCTCATTCTTTTAAGGCTTAGTTTCTTAGGACCATGACACTTTCTCCTAGGCAATGAGGCACGTGCTGCGACATGCTTGCTTGCTTCGAAAGGCAAAGGCTTGACTGGATCAAGCCAAATCTATCCAAATCTCAATATAACAGGAAAAAACAAACATTCAGGTGCATAGGGCATCATAAGAGCTGGCTTCAACACGGCACTGCGTGCCTTGCAGCCTTGTTGAGCATTATAAGTTATAAGTTATAAGTTATATATCTTAATTTCTTGCAACTTGGCTCACAGCAGACTACTGTACCATAAAATCCGTTTGAATCCGTTTCCGTGTTTCTGCATCCGTGCCATGCCGCGGCCGGACAGCGCGTTGGGTCACGGCCGAGCACCTCGCCTGGGCTCGAAAGGTTCAGTGTCAGAGGCGAGCGAGCCACGTGGGTCGAAGGTGGAGGACACGTTGCTCCAAGCAACAACGAAGGGTCGAAGGCACAAATGCATCGGATGGAATGCGCTAAAGAGTGACGGCTGTGGGTGGGGTGACTGGCTTTGTAGGCCAGGACCTAAGACCTCCAAAGTACACCAGGTGGTCTTAAAGTGTTTTATTAGCAACTTGCTGAGCAATGCTCTTGGGATGCACAGCAGACAAGATTTCTTCGTGCTGCATGTACAAATTTCGCTGTGTTGACACATCATGTGCCTTGACATGTTTTGAGTTCTTGTGTGGCAGACTTCAGTTTTGTCTATTTTTGTGGTCCATGCATTTTGTTCTAATACAATTGTGGAATGAACAATAAAATTGGTGCGCAGTCCACGGTCCCTTGTCAAAGCGCATCCATGAAGCCGGAGGATGTTTCCGAGATTGCACGTCGCTTTGAGCATCACTTGAATGGGTTGGCAGCGACGTGCCTGGCTGGCATAGAGAAAGATGTTGTGGTTACTATAGCAGCAGCTTCTCAAGCAATGTCTAGGTTTGAATCTTCAGGACTCATGACTACGCCGACTACGCCTAGGTTTTATCAGTTGCAGACCCACAAGCACGAGCATGCTGAGTTACTTCCTCTTGGAACTACATTTTGCATGTCCCTTAGCCGCAGACAGCAACAAACGCCGTCACACTTTCTTGATCCCTCGGAAATGAGCCGCCTTCAGAAGGATAGAGATGGAGAACTCAGGGGTTTAAGAAAGCTGCCCCTTTTGACCCAAGCAAAGAACGGTGTTATCATCTACCACAAAGTGAAGGCAGCTGCAAGACTTCTAAACCGCTCCTGTTCCACATTTGGACTCACCCCTCTCGTGTTTGGTAGCAGACAGCACGTGTGTTTGCTCACACAGGTGCAGACATATTTTCTAAGGCGACCTTCCAAGGCCTTGGATGTTGCAAAGCAGCACGCGATTCGAAGACTTTCAGAGAACAGTCCGCACGTGAACCATGCCATGTTCCAGGAGCCTCTTTACTGTGGACGTTCTCATGTTTGCTGCTTTGCGTGGCTCCAACTAATGATGCAGTTTGGGGAGCACAGAGTCGTTACTTTGATTCCTGGGAGATGTTAGGAGGATGTGGGATGCAGAATGACTGATCACACTGGCTCATGCCTGTGAAACTTGCAGGACTTGATTGTTGACTCCGATGAGTGTGATGCACCCAGCACTAGATGTAAGAGCATCCAGGAAATGTAAGATCGTAAGGATTCTGCGATATCACCTGAAACGGCTTTCTTGAGCTCTAATTACATTTCTTAAAAAGATAAAACCACCATCAAGCAGACGCGATGCAATCCCAGGGCAAAATGGTGAATTGGCCCTGGTGAACGCTCAAGGCAGTTCAGAGAAGGTACCTTGGGACTCGGATTGAGGGGACAACATCAGGTGTAAGCAGCTGCTTAGTCAACAGGGTGATTTCGTAGCTGTTCCATCATTTTTGTTTTGTCTTAGTATGCCGCCCTTCTTTGTTCCCTTCACTTTCCACCGTCACAGGAGAGGTTCTGTGCTACAACACTTGCAAGTATAAAAACAACTTTTCAGAGAGCAAGAACGTGCAAGACTCAAAGATGGCAAAAGTGTTCGAACAAGTCTCTAGATTTTTTTAAACGGTGTTTTGACCCGTCAAGTTTTCCCTTACTGCAAGATCGACGCAATTCTCTCCAGGCTCGAGAGATACTGAAGAGGCAGTACAAGGCAGCGTGTTTCACCCAGATGGCTTGTCAAAAGCAATCTGCAAAGTAGCATGGAGTCTTTAGAGGTCCTGAGAAAGCAAAGGTTCAGAATCCTAGTTTTCAGCAAGAAGAGCAGTAGCATATGCACCACAGCGTTTTTGAACACAGGCGCGTTGCTTGCATGCTGCCCCTTTTCCGCATGCACTGGTACACATAGGGACTGACCCACTACCTCCCAACACACCAAGGCATGTGCTTGCACATACAAAAATACAACCATCCATCAGCGCAAGCACCACATGTTCAATCAGCCATGGAAGAGGTTTGACATTTGAATCAGTGTAAAACCGGAATTGGGACGTGTACACTTGCAATGCCTCATGGAAGTCAACAGATATGTTTCAAGGCTGCAAACAAAGAAGAGGGAATCTCTAAGCAGGATTTCAGCTTGCTTTTGATGTCCGCTCAAAAGCATGTTGAACAACCACCTAGCAAAATCTTTGAGGCTGCTGATGAGGATCAGCAGCCGCAGTGTGTACGTGAATATCAGTGAAACATAAAGACGCAGACCCCACTCCCCGAATGCGAGCCACCAAACTGCAAGCAGGCGCAGTTCATACGCCTGGATAAAGCTGGAAATGGACACCTCGAGGAAGAGGATCTGATGGCAGACCCTCAGCTTAGCAAAGGTAGTCGAACCCTGCTGCCAGACTAGCATGGGCCACAGACCATTGGCCAATGGTTTTGATGAATTGTTGCAGTTCCTGCGTTTCTTTATATGAATTCTATGGATGCAAAGGGTGTTTAATTGAGCCCTCGGACCTTAGAAAGACATTCTTCATGTATTTCATCCGTTTTGCTCAATGACCTTGTACTTGTCAGCCACCCTTGCACCCGTTGACTCAAGTTGACACAGAGTCCACATTTTCTTTTTGCCCGCCCTTACTTAATTGAGTAGGTGGCTACTTAATTAAGGAGGTAAGCTGCTAGCAATAGGAAGTTCCTAGCTAGGACGCAGGATAGCTCACGCTTCTTCAAGGAAGCTCCCCGGCCTGAGGGCGGGGGTAGCTTCCTTAAAGAAGCGCTTGCATCACTTAGTTTGTCAGTTTCTCAGGTGATGCAGACCTTCAACCGTGGTTGGGAACTCGAAGACATCCATGCACTCCTGCGCGAAGTCAATAGGCCATCGCCTTCGCATCGATAGCATTGATCGGATGGTTGGCTTTTGGGGCAGGGTTTGACAACAGCAGAAATTCATTTGAACAGATAAATTGCTTGTGCAACACGCTCATCCAGAAACTGTTGCATGACTTCACATGTGACAAAGAGATTTGTGTCACATTTGCGTTTGCAGCCATGTGGCTAAGAACTACGAATCTGCTGTAATCTGCCATGACCTGAACATGGGGAATCAGTCGGCTCAGTCGGCATGGCGTTCCGATGTGAAGAGGATTACATGTGGCTTCCAGCCTTTGGTGAGGATGAGAAGAATTGGCCCAACGGCTTGAGGATTTTCCTCTATGTCCTTGGGCTCTTTTATTGCTTCTTAGGAGTGGCAGTGGTTTCAGATGTCTTTATGAATGCCATCGAAAGAATCACGTCCCAGAAGAAGCGAGTTCGTCTCAAATCCACCGGGAAGATCGTCACCCAAACAGTGTGGAATGACACCATGGCTAACCTCACCCTGATGGCTCTTGGCTCCAGCGCACCTGAAATCCTTCTCAGTGTCATTGAGATCATGAGCAACAACATGTATATTGGAGACCTTGGCTCAGGGACCGTCGTGGGCAGTGCTGCATTCAACCTCTTGGTCATCAGTGCAGTTTGTGTATGTGCGATTCCTGATGGAGAAGTTCGTTACATCAAAGATACCTATGTCTATGCTGTAACAGCAACCTTTTCAATTCTCGCCTATGTGTGGCTCCTGTTGATCTTGATGGTGATTTCTCCAGATGTCTGTGAAATCTGGGAGGCGGTTGTGACGTTCCTTTTGTTTCCACTTCTCTTGGTTTTGGCCTTTGCAGCCGATAAGGGCTATTGCTCTAGCAAGGAAAAGGAGGAGACCGATGAGAACTTCCATGGAGCCATCCCACCAGACGTCACCAAAGAGGAGCTTGCTGAGATTGAGCAAGGGATCCGTGAAGAGTATAATCACAAGATCTCCGATGACCAGCTGGTCAGGGTCATACAGCATATGTACCAAGGCAGGGTTTGACCTCGATCTGATCCATGGCTTGAGCACTGATTCTTGCATCGTGTACACATATCATTGGTTTGCTTGTACAGTGTTGCTTGAGGGTCCTCCCTGACAGGAAAGCCATCACGGGCATTCTACCGACACGCTGCCATGGAGGGGATTGTGGGTGGCAAAAGGGCCGATTTTGGTGGCCATGCCCCACCCAACCTGGTCACCACTCCTCACACAGCTGATGAGCTCAAGATGTCTGGAAAGGTGGTGGAAATCGGTTTCGCCACCGACCGCTATGCATTTCTCGAGTCTTGCTGTATGGCCAAGGTGGTGTTGGTGCGTGCAGGTCCTCCAGAGCCTGAAGTGAGTGTCCAAGTGAAATCAAGGGAGGGAACAGCCAAGGAGCACTCTGACTACAAGCCTGTGGATGACATTATCACCTTTGCTCCAGGTGAGATCGAGAAAGAGTATTTTGTGGAAATCATTGATGATGCTGCGTACGAAGAAGACGAGGAGTTCTACCTCGAGCTTTCAGCTCCTTTGTGCAAGGACCCATCGAGTGATTTTAAGGTGCGAGTCCGCCAATCCCTTGGCACCGTGACCATGATCATTGTTGATGATGATGAGCCCGGAAAGCTTCGATTCCAGCAAGAGCAGGTCGAAGTGAAGGATGCTTATCTAAATTCCTTTTGCTTTGCTTCTGAGTAGCTTCTATCCTAGTAGCTTCTTGTTACTAGTAGCGGTGGCCCCAACCTACTTGCGATGGCCTCCACCCATAAAATAGCATCCCGGACCCTATTCATTCCTTGCCTTTCTTTTTGACTCTTTGGAGCCTTCTTTCGTTGAGGAGAGGGAGCACGAGACCACGTTACAGATCGTTGTGGAGCGTTTCAACGGGGCTATAGGAGACAGCTTCATCTTGCTTGGTGTTGGTCGCTTCGCCTTCTTGGGGGATCTTCCTGAATAGATCTCATATGATTTCAGAGGTTTTCATATGATTTCATTTATAGTAATTCACAGATCACTTCACAGATGATCATTTAGGATTTTCACTGCCAAACTCCGGGCCATGCCATTGGTTTTCTGACAGCTCTAGAAAGTCCATGTTACAATTCCCTGAGTGGATTTCCGGAGTCTCCCGAGAGGACCCATCGAGTGCCGCTACTATACAGAGGATAACTCGGCGATTGCCGGTTATGATTATGAGCAGGCCTCAGGACTCGAGTCTGCTGGAGCAACGTTTTCGTCTCGTTTCCACAGGTTGGAAAAGACAAGAACACATAGTCCTTTGTCCTTTGTCCTCCTCCTCCTCCTCCTCCTTCTTCTTCTTCTTCTTCAAAGTTGCAACAATATATTTCTATCCCACTTCCTATATTTGCCGTGGTTTGCAGCACATGCACTCTGAGGTGTTTGGCCATGGTCGTTCCTAGGCCCTAAGTCGTTCCTAAGAGCGCTCGACGAGGTGTCGTTCAGTCCATGGTGTGGCGTTTGTGCACAGTTGGGGAGGTCACTGGTGGCTGAAGCTGTTCTGTCCATCGCTCTTAGGTTGGAGGCCATCGCTAGCAGGTTGGAGGCCAGG